TGGAGAGTACATTATAGACAATGAGGATTGCCTGTGGAGTGATGACCTATGATGAGTGGGAGTCCCTAGGCACAAAGGGAATTGCAAAACATGTTTGTAGAGCACATGATTGCATTTAGTAAGATCAAACTTGGAAAATGAGAAAACTGTTAATGAATTTTAAGGAATATCTTCCTGATGGTAAAAGAAAAGTCTCTTTTTCATGTCATTTGACAGAAAAAATGATCAAAACAAGAATCTGGTCAGTAGCAGGGACAAGAGAAAGAGCAGTAGCTACTTCCAGTTAAAGCCTTGGCTTCTGTGACATGTCTGCTTGCTGGTTGTTCATCTTTGTGAACATACTTTTTACCTTACATTGAGGTAGGCTGTGCCTATTAGTCTTCCTTGGACTGCTGCTGGCTTTGAAGAAATCTGGGGAAAGCAGAAAGAATGAAAAACAGTTCATTGGTTTTGAAGCTAGGACTTGGAACTTTATGCAGAGACAGCTCTCTTACAAGGCTCATTTTACTTGGGTATTTTGATTTTGGATGCTTCATTCATAATCTATATTTTCAAGGTTCTCTCTTTTCCCTATGAATCAGTGAAGATCCTGCCTTATCCCTTTAAATGCAACACCACCATACAGCTACTTATGTGATAGAAGCTGAACTACCAAGACCACTCCTGTGTGGTACCAGAGTGTCTTGGTGAGTAGAATGAGCTACTTACACTTGCATTCCTCACTACCCCTGAGAAAATGCAGCTTTAAAAAACAGGAAAAAAAAAGAGTAAATAAAAGGTACGTTCAGCGCAGTTGCTGCTATAGCACCTGGTTTTTGCAGGTCTCATAGAAACAGACTATCTTATCTCCTGCATATCCTTGAAGAGCTTTTACCCTAGTCATTCCTAGCTTTTATCCTCGTCATTCCTGAAAAGCCACCTCATTTGCACACATGCTTATGTGAGATATGCAGGACCGGAAATGACTTTAGAAAACACACAGTCCATTTTCATGTTACTGTAGATACCACATCATGTAACTCATCATATTTCTGATTCTTCCTTCCATAAAAGGCAGCCTGCACACACACCTTCTCAGCATAGAGTACCAACATAGAACAAGACCTGCAGATTTCTCCTCAGGACATCGTGGGAAGAAAAGTGGCCACCTGTTATGGATACTAAATCCCTATTTAGCTCAGGAGGAACTAGAGAGAACTGGTTTCATCAGTGTCCTTACTATTTCCGTGCTTCCCTTTTGGTGACTCCAGGTTGCTCATCTTGAATCTCTCCGGTTCCAACTGGGAGTAGTCCCAGTGAGCATAACTTCTTGGGATTGGTCGTGTGCCTGAGTGGAGAGAAAGAAGAAATAGCAAATGAACAAGAGAGAGAAAAAAAAAATCTTACATCATCAGTGTGCACTATACACGCTAAGCTTCACATTATCCCATGTGATGCTGCATCATTTGTGTGTGCAGACAAAACACAGTTGATATTCCTCTAAGACACCCCATAAATAAGGTTAGAAGTGGATTTAGAAGCTAGACCCTGCGTGCTCCGTTTATAAATATCAGTAGCTCATGCTGAAGGCCTGCGATATCTTGTCTCAAGCAGTTACCAGCTGTGGAAGGTTACAGCAGAACATAAGAAACGGGTTTATATGGAGTGATTCCTCCTGTAGTATAGTCTCCTTGAATCCAGTCATTAGGAACTACAGAAGTTTAATATTTCACAGTTTCATGAAGAGGAGATCTTAGTCATTCACAAACACAGAAACAGAAAAAGACTGCGATGGTGAGAGAGAGGCAATGAGAAGAATGAAATCAAAGATGCAGAAGTAAGCAAGAAGAGCCAGGTAGCCGGGGAGTGGGATCCATCTGGACAGAAGCTCTCCCTGC